TCCTCCTGTCTGTCCATCCGTCCTCCTGTCCGTCCATCCGTCCATCCATCCATCCATCCACCCATCTGTCCGTCCATCTGTCCATCCATCCATCCACTCACTGGCCCATGTGTCCATCCACACCTTCATGCCACCCACCCATGGGCCATCTGAAGCTCTATCTAAACCTGAGATGACATCTTGGCCACAGTGTTGTCCCGTCTCCTACATATGGTTGATGCCTTAGCTCTAGTCTGCGAGCCCCATACACGTGTCATGTGTTTCCCGTGTGCCAGCAAGTGCCAGGAGCAGGTCACAGCTGTGATGTCAGTGACCTGCCCCCACGTGCTGAGAGGTGGGGAGGGCACAGGTGTCCTACGGGACCTGAGTGGGACGTGAGGTGTGGTGCCTTCATCCGGCCGACTGTGGATGTGCTGCGGTGTGGCCCTGGCAGGGGGTCTTGGGTGCCAGCCCGCCTCACCCAAGTGGCACCTGTGACCCCCCTGCCCACCCACTTCCTGCCTGCAGTTTGGGGAACACTTCGAGTTCGACTGCAAGAGCTGTGTCTGTCTGGAGGGCGGGAGCGGCATTTCCTGCCTGCCCAAGACGTGCAGCCAGGAGCCGCCCCAGTGCACGGAGGAGGGCACCTACCCGCTCACAGAGGTCAACCCCGCCGACACCTGCTGCAACATCACATCCTGCAGTAAGGCCACCCCCGGGATGGTGCTGGGTGCTGGGGGCCCAGGAGTCGCCCGGCAGCCCCCGACGGTGTTTTCACCTCCTCACTGAGCTGGGGAGCCGCTCACTTGGGGACCTTTGGGGCATGTCCACCTGAGCATGGGTGTCGGAGGAGGCCGGTGCCTGCAGCCCCCTCCTTCGCCTTGTCTCCCCCCTCCCCCCAGAGTGCAACACCAGCCTGTGCCCGGCGACGCCGTCCAAGTGCCCACTGGGATTTGAAGCGAAGAGTGAGATCACACCTGGGAAGTGCTGCCCCACCTACACCTGTGGTTAGTGGGGGCCGGGGGGTGGGGCTGAGAGCCCCGTGGGGTCACCCTGCATGGCGACCACACACCCCCTGGGCTCAGTGTCCGTGCTGTCCCGGGGGGTGGGACTGACCGTGGGGTCACCCCGCATGGTGGTCACACTCCCCCTGGGCCCAGGTGTCCACTTTGTCCAGCCCGACCCACGTCCCCGTTCTCTTCCTCCCAGTGCCCAAGGGTGTGTGCGTTCACCAGAATGCTGAGTACCAGGTGAGCCCGGGCAGGGTGCCGGGAAAGGTGCCCGCTCTGGGGCCTCTGTGGTGGGCGGTAGCCCCGCCTCACCCGCTCCTCTCTGTGCCCTCAGCCGGGGTCGCCAGTTTACTCCTCCAAGTGCCAGGACTGCGTGTGCACCAACCGCAGGAACAGCAGCACCGAGCTCAACGTCATCTCCTGCACCCACGTGCTCTGTGACAACTCCTGCAGCCCCGTAAGCCTCCCTCCCGTCCCCCCGGAGGCCATGGGCCATCCCGCGGCCACCTCCGTGGCTCCCTTCCTCCCCGCACCAACCTAGCCGTGTGCATCCCGCAGGGCTTTGAGCTGGTGGAGGCCCCCGGGGAGTGCTGTGGTAAGTGTGAGCAGACCCACTGCATCATCAAGAGGCCCGGCAAGGAACCCATCATCCTAAAGGTGAGCGAGGGGCCTGCTCCCATCCCCACCCAGGAGGGGCCGGCCCGCAGCCACGGGCAAGGCCTGGGATGCCTCCCGCTGCCCCAGCAGGGTCTTCCCAGGGCCGGGCATGGCCGTTCCAGTGTCCTGGGGTGGCCGTGACCGCAGACTAGGGCTGGAAACACCAGGAGTGACCGAGTCCTTTCGCCTGGAGCCGGAGTCCAGGCTGGAAGTGTCGCAGGGCCGCGGTCCCTTCAAGGGCTCTGGGGGAGCCTTCCTGCCTCTTTGGCTTCTGGGGCTCCAGACGGCCCCGGGCTTGTGGCCGCGTCCCTCCACTTTCTGGCTCACCTTCCTGTGGCCCCGCCTGTCTCTTATAAGTATGCTCGTTGTTGGATTTAGAACCACCCATGTAATCTGGGATGGTCTCATCTCAGCATCTTTAACCTAATCTCACCTCTCAACACTCTTTCTCCAGATAAGGTCGTATCTGCAGGTGCAGGGGTTAGGATGTGGACGTGTCTGGGCGCTCTAGGCTGGTGGCTGTGGGCCTGCGGGCTGGACCTTCTGTCCGACAGGAGCTGCACTTGGCTGGGTGGTTGGAAACCTGCAGGGCGTTTCTTGTCTATCTTCCGGGTGGGCCTCCTGTGGGTCTCACCAGGCTGTCTTGTGCCCTGCAGCCCGGGGACATAAAGCATGACCCCAAGAATAACTGCACATTCTTCAGCTGCGTGAAGATTCACAACCAGCTCATCTCTTCGGTCTCCAACATCACCTGCCCCGACTTTGACCCCAGCATCTGCCTCCCGGTGAGTGGGGGTCCTTTCTTCGGGACCTGCCCTTTCCCACCCTGAGGCAGGACGGGGCTGCTCGCGGCCGGGGGGTGGCCTGGGGGTCCCAGGCGCCTTCTCCTTCCTTCCAGGGTTCCATCACTCTCATGCCCAATGGTTGCTGCAAGAAATGTGAGTACAGCCTGGCGGGCAGGCATCTCTGGGGCACACGGCGCGGCAGGGGAGCTCCCTCTGGGACCCTGGGGCGGGGGTGAAGGAGGCACAGGGGATGATGTCCCGGGACTCCCGTCCCCTTCTGTGCCACTCTCAGCCAGATGTTAAATTGGGGGGCAGCAGCTGGGGGCCCTGCTTGCTGTGGGGTGGCCGGGGCTGGGGCACTCGAGGAGGGAGAGGAGGCCGTGAGGGAGAACCTGCGGGCCCCCCGGGGTGTGGAGACCCCGCCCCCCAGCCCAGAGCCTCCAACCCCCCCTCCTGGCAGGCATCCCTCGCAACGAGACCAGGATCTTCTGTTCCGCCATCCCCGTTACCCGGGAAATTTCTTTCGCCGGCTGCACCAACAAGGTCACAATGAACTACTGCTCTGGGTCCTGCGGGACCTTCGCCCTGTGAGTCCCAGGCCCCGGACAGGGGTGGGGGAGGGGCTCCTCGCCCTAGTGGGGGTGGCTCCTCACTCTGGCCGGCCGCCCGCCCGCAGGTACTCGGCCGAGGCCCAGGCCCTGGACCACAGGTGCTCCTGCTGTAAGGAAGAACGGACCAGCCAGCGGGAGGTGGTGCTGCACTGTCCCCAGGGCGGCTCGCGGAACCACACCTACACCCACATCGAGAGCTGCCGGTGCCAGGACACCGTCTGCGAGCTCCCGCCGGCCCCGAGCCGCGTCCCCGGCCGCTCCCGGCGCTCCAGCCCCGGGGGCCTGCGCCCAGGAGGCGCTTGAACAGGGTCGTGCCACCCAGCTCGCCCCCACCGCCCTCCGCACCCTCCACCCCTCCTGCTGACCCCCTGAGCTTCCTCACCTCCTGAGCTGGCTTCCTCTCTGCAGATATTTATTTTCTGAGTCTTTGTTCAATTCTTCGCTTTCCACAATAAACTTGGGCAGACGCTGTGCCGGTGTTTGTTGTCAGTGCTGGGCGTCCGGACGGCTGCCGTGCACGGCCCCTGGTCTCGCTGCTTCCTGTGGGGTGAGCGGACCGAGAAGGTCCAGAGAGGGGCCCGGTCCGCACGCTCTGCGCACGGGACGCGGGGGGGCCCGCGCACACTTGCCTGCCTGGCTGTGGCAAGCTTCCTGTGCCAAGTGCGGCCCCCAGCGACCTCTGTCCCTCGAGCCGCCTCCAGAAAGCCCTGTCCCGCCCTGTCCTGCCCTCAGCGTGGCCAAAGCCCTTTCTGGGCCATCGTAGTCCAGGAAGACTTCCACCCCTGACTTTGCGCAACAGGGGGCCCGACAGCCCAGGGCGCCGGGTGTGTGCGTGTGTCTTCGGACGTGGCTTGGGTGTGAACGTGCCACGTGCACATGTGTTTGCGTGTATGTGTTTGGAGCGTGCTTCATCCTGGGTGTCTGCACTGGCAAAGCTGAAGGTCCTGGGCCGGGGTCAGGGGCGCACACCAGCCCGTGGATCAGAAGGTGACCTTCCGGGCCTCGGCCACTTGCAGAGTTCCGGTCGGTTCTGTGGACCCAGGCGGGCGGCCGGTGCCGTGTGTGCGCGCCTCCACGTGTCCACCTGCCTGCGCATGTCTGGGGAGCTGTTCTGTGAGCTGAGCCGCCAAAATGGGGGTTTTAGGGAAGGGTCTCCTCCAGGCCTTTGATGACCGAGAGTGCAAACTGGCGGCCTCCCGCTGGGCGGCCGTGGAGACCGCTGGACCAGAGCCGGAACGCCCAAGGTTGGGTGACGAGCCAGGTTCTGTTCTCCTGAGGCAGCAGACCCCTGGCCTGACCAGGTGTTGAGGGGGTGGGAGCCCTGGGTCCTAGGGCCGAGGACCCCCGAGTGTAGCCATTTGGCTTGTGAGCTCCCCTGGAAACCTAAGGGGAGGTGCCGATGTCCCCGGGGCCCACATCTCATCCTCCCTGTGATTCTCTGCCACACGTTACACCTGACTGAATGGAGGGTCTCAGGGAGAGCAGATACCTGCCTCAGGCTCCGCAGTGCTGAGGCCAGTGAGGGTTTGCTCCAGGAGGCACCCAGAACCCCAACTTCTCTGCATTCCCTGCCCCCTGAGGAGCTGGGCTGAGGGCTCAGCCCTCCCTCACCTGCCCCCACCTGACACCAGGGAGGGCTTGATGGCCGATCAGGTTGTGTCAGCACATCAACGTCACCCTGGCACCTGGGGGTCTTTCCAGTGGCCCCCTGGCCTGGGAGGGCCCCAGAGGCCCCTGCACAGCCCCCTTGGTGACCTCGGGGGTCCACATTGTCCCTGGCCAAGACCTGTGGACTTCCTGGGTGGTCAGTTGGCCTGGGTTGGACTTGGAGTCACCAAGTGGCCTCCTAGGACAGAAGGATTGCTGGGGGGACAGGAGCTCCCCGCCTCTGCTGTGCGGCCAAGTGGGGTCCTGGGTGCTTCAGGACCAGCCCTTCTGCAAGACGGTCAATGTGCCGACCCGATGGCCCTCACCTGTTCCAGGGCCCCCTCCCAGGGCCACGGGGGCTTGGAGCTCCAGAAATTTTCTAGCGGGCCGTGTGTTTCATCGACGTGGTGCAGAGCCCCTGGCCCACCCTGCTGCGTCTGGCTGTGCCCGGCTGGCCAGCAGCCCCAGCACAGGCCGGACCCAGGCAGAACGAAGGTGCTCGTGGCCCTCGTCTGGTCAGGAAGAGGGGTCAGCCTTGGGCCGGCGTCCCATCCACCTCCCGGCTCCGCGGCTGTGCGATGGGGACACAAGGCGGGGGGGGCAGCGGTGGGCCGGGGTGCAGCTGGGCCCTGCTCACTTTTCTAGGCTGCGCCCCCAGGTCCCCAAATTAAGCAGAACAGGCAGGGTTTTCTCTGTTTGACACATGGTGGTTTCCATGAGGATCTGTTTGGAAAGAGGTTTCTGGCTTAAAAATGGTTTGATGACCGTTGGCAGATGGTCGCTAAGGCTGCTGCCCGCCCCCAGCAGAGGAAGCAGTGGGCGCTCCCCGGGGCCCCGCCCCAACCGTCTGGAGGAATGGGCGAATGGCCCACACGCACCCCTGCACCGGCACCCCCCGACCTGGAGGCTGTTGGGGGTTCACGCCCCTTCTTACAGCCCTTGTCCCGCTATTTAGATGAGGGCTCTGCTAGGGACACCCATGCAGTGGGCCGCACCCCTGCCCTTCTGCCCAGGGAGCCACCGCCTTGGCTGTGCCCCTCCCTGCCCCTCCCACCTCTCCCTTCCCTGGCACACCCTTCCCAGCCCCCCGGTCTCCACCCACGTGCTCTGGTCTGAGCACAGCCCACCTGTGAGGGAAGGGGGCTCGTCCCACAGGTGAGGGAAGGGGGGCGGGGGGCGGGGGGAGGGGGGCAGGGGGAGGGGGGCGGGCCCCATGCAAATCCCATTGCATAGCCGGCTCTTTCCTCTTCCTCTTCTGGCTCGAGACCCTGAGCTGCGTCGTCCGGGGGCTCCGCGGGGATGCGGGACCTGGGACGGGGACAGGCCTGGAATGAAGTGCCAGCCACCCAGGGCCCGACGGGGCGCCCAGAGGCGGTGGCTCGTGCTTGGCCACCACAAGTGGTGCTTGGCACTGGCCCACCTTGTCTTTCCACGCGGCGTGTGCCCTGCGGTTCTGCCACACCCGGTTCTGGGGTGCCGCTGCCCCCCAAGTGTCCGCGTCAGTGGCCCTTCACGCTCTCATGCTGGTCCCCGTGGGCCTGGCGTGGCCGCCGGGGGTCAGTTCAGGCCCCAGCTCTGCCGGCAGGCTCCGTGTGCAGAGGGCCTGGGGTGCCCTCACTTCTCCGTGGGACCATGATGGTGACAAGGGATGGATGGTGACCACGGGCCTCCCAGAGGCCACGCTCGTTTGTCACCCCAGGGGAGGGGGGAGAGTCAGGGCCCCCCCTGCACCCAGAGAGGGAAGGGGCCTCTGAGTGTCCCTGCTGTGACATCAGGTCCAGTCCGGACCGCGGTGCCACTCCTTCTGGGCTCTGCTGGGCGCCACAGGTTAGGGGAGCCCAGGCCCCACTGTCTGGCCCTAATCATGGGGCCTCAGGGGAGCCCCCAGAAAAGAGTCTTCCACCAGTGGCTTTGGGAAGGCAGGGACTGAGGGGGGCTGATCCCGTCTCCGGGGACCCTGTTCCCCCACAGCAGCCTCCTCACCTCCCTTCCTAGGGGAAGCGTTGGTCGGTGTCTGGAATCAGAAGTGAGTCCCCCGTCCCCGCGGTGAGATACTCGTCTGCGGTGAAGGTGAGCTCACACTGGTGCGTGAGGCCCGAGTGAGTCGCGAACGCGTGCTGAGGGCTGCACGCGTTCACGCATAAAAGGCTGCGGGATTCAATCCCTGCCACGGAGCCCCGGAAACGGCCAGACGAGGCAACGGACAGCAGAGCGGTGGTGCCCTGCCCCGTGCCTGGGGAGGGGGACTGGCCGGGGGGTGGCTCACGACTGCCGACACCCGCCAGCCTTCACCAGGCCGGACGCTCGAGACGACGTCGTTACTGAGGGTAAACAGCACTTTGGTAAAAACCGCGGCTTCTGACTCTTGCCTTGAACAGCCCTTACTACTGGTTTGCGGCCTGGGCTGGCTCGTCGCGCGGCTGCCGCTGGGGGTCCGCGGGGCTGGCTTCTGCTGGAGGAGGGGGGGGTCGCTGACGCCCCCCTGCACGCATCCTGTTCTGTTCACACGGTGCCGCGTGGTCTCCCAGAGCGACCAGAGGGCGGGCCCCGTGCACACGCGAGTCCCGTGGCGTCCCCTGTGTCACATCTGCTGCCGTTCCAGTGGCCACAGGCCACGTGCACGGCCAAGGCCAGACGAGCAAGGACAGGCCACAGGGGTCGGAACAACTGGGGGCTTGGGTGCTTCACGTCACACAGACTACCCCGGACGGTAGGAAAGGTGGGAGGCTCTCACTGGGTCAGCGTGATACCAGATCGCTGGAGAGAGGCCCCAGGAGAGGACACCAAGCCAACACGCAGGCAGGCACCTGTGGCTGTGGGACGCGTCAGCGCAGCAGGCCGCGAGCAGAAACGAGAGGCCGCAAGGGGCGTGCGTTTTCTCTGCTGCGGACGCCTCTTTCCACGCGGAGCCTGTCCCTTAGCTCGGGCCTCTGCCGCCCGCCACGCACTCTGGCCCAGGGAGAGTGCTGGAACTGGAAAAACAAGGTGCGGGCATCCCACCTCCTCTCCCCGTCCTCTGCTCCTCCACGGAGGGGAGCTGGTCCAGGCCCAGGGCCGCCAGCGACCGGAAGGTTGTCTAATTCCAGGGGGAAACATACCCACAAGCACAGTCCATGAAGCAGCCTATGAGTTTATAATTCGCAAAATTAGGCACGGCCCTGCACCCGCCAAGCCCCTTGCTTATTTTCAATTGGTTCCAGCACTCGGGTCGGCGGGGGCTGTGTACGAACCACCCCCCCCAGCCCAACAATCCTAAACAAGCCGGGCTTTCCCAGGAATCCAAGGATAACTCAGCAAGGGAGACTACCAACAGTGCGTCAGCCAGGGTCGCTCTGCTGTGTTGCAGGAACGGAAGCCCCCCCAGTTTGGCTTTTGGTCGTTTGGGCCCCTCTTGTCATCCAGGACCCGGGGTCTCAGAGATCGCGGAGGGCCTGCCACCGTGTGCAGTCTCTGGGATAAGTGGCCACTGGCGGCTCCGGCAGCCACAGGGGCCAGGAAGTGCAATGCCCCTAGGGGAGCAGAAGGGGGAGCCAGCCGCCTCCAGGAGCCGCTGTGATTCCCACAGCCACAGATTTGAGGAGAAAATCCTTGTGGTTTTCTTACCGCGTGCAGAAACGGCATCTGACAAGAGTAAACAGCTTGTCTTGACCGTTTTA